GTAATTTCAGTATATGGCTTCCACACATGAGCGAGCAGTAGCCAGGCAACAGCAGGCAGACTGAGAGCCAGTGTCAGGGCCTGGTTTGTCTGTCTAATCCACTCATGTGAAGACAGACGAGACGCTCTCCTCTCTCTGCCATCAAAGAGCCTGGAATCAAGGGAGAGGAGGAGGAAGTGAACAATACACAGTTTAATTTTACACTGCCTGGGTCATGTCATATGGGAGCTAGGTGTAATTAATTTGGTTTCTCATCTCTGCTGGTATCACAAAAGTGCAAATGTAAAGTGTAAATGTATTTTATATTGTAGGTTATGTTTAAGGAATGCATATTTTTAAAGCCTTTGTCCTCAGTCTTTTAATTGTTTTGCACTTTGCTTGTCTCTTATCTATGAGTAATTTTCATATGGTCATAATTGTGTAAGGTATAGAAAGGTGACATTTCTTGCTTATCTATATGAAAATTCAAAGTGGCTGTTATATTGCAACGTTAGCTTTCTTGAGATTCTTTTCAGGGAATGAGTGGCAGGTCTTCAAAAAGGCTATGGTAAAAACAGTACACTGTGTAACTCAGCTGCCTGTTTCCATGGAGATGTGATTTCTTGTGATTTTTCTGGAGTGTTTCACAGTATGGCATTAAGCATATTCAGCAGTTATTTAATTACTGGTGGTGTTTTATTGCTTAAAAATAGCTTGGAGACATGCATTCTGCTGTGAGCACAGTCTCCTCTCCACAGACCTGACCAGTAACCAGGCCTAATACCATACTTTGGAACATTTCAAGGAAGGCAATGGCATCTCACTAGCTGGTGAAGTTACACTCTGCATCTTTAAACACCAACAGAATACATTACAATTTAAAGGGCTCACTATTTTTGATCTCTACTACCACGTCATGACATCACAAGGTGGGACAAATCGTTTAGATCTTTGGAGATGTAGACAAACTACTAATAAAGAGTTGCTCAAATATGTGAGAATCAAGCAAAACACAACTCCAGGTTTGTTTTTGATGAGATAACAACATAACATGGCTTAAAGCTCATAAGAGTCAATTTGTCTTAATTAATATAGGACAAGATTTTATTAAAGCTATATTATGATGGTACGTCACATTGGCTATTTTGTAGTGGTGTGTTACTCATTATGTTTAACAACTTCACTTCCTGACCTAGTTTAAAAGCGGTCACATATGCATCGTTCACATGAAAGCCCTCTCATAAAACATGTTTAATTTATTCAGTCATTAAAGGAGAAGGTACAGGCCAAGATTGTCATTACAGGTACCAATTATTTTCCAGCCACTTTGGTGAATAAAGCTTTAATCCTGACTAGGTTTAATTAACTGACAACTTGAGTTCTTTTGAGTGATTTATTTATTTATTTATTTATTTATCAAAGATCTTGTTACTACGGTTACTACAGTGTGCTCGTTTTAGTCTATTCTCAGCAGACCCCATGTAATCCCATTAAACTGTCTAGATTAGGAGATTATCTGTTACCCACTGCCGTACGAAACACCTTCTTCAGACATAGAAGTAGATTAGAGTTGTGGAGTCTTAGCGGAGTTAGTTTAGTAGTTGAGTGGATATGACGGTCAATTGGAAAATTAACTTAACTTGTGTTCTCTAGTTTTGAACTATGCGCTCTTGACTGCGCTCTACCTCTCCAACTATTTTGCTGGGAAAGGTTTATTTTATTCACTTTACTTGACTTTATTCTTGCCAATAATGTTGTGTGGTTGAGTGTGTATAGTGTTGGGAAATAAAAACAAACAAACAAAACAATCATGATTAAAGATAGGCTGGTATTTGCACTTTTAGCATATCAGATATTGACTTTAAATCTCCAGCTCAGGCCAATATTTTGTTCTGACTGACTTGCAGCCTAAAAAGTACACATAAAGCTTTATTTTAACTCTTTAGTACAAAGAGACAACTGCAAAAAATGTTACTTCTTAGCTCTCTAAAAAGGGCTAAAAATATGTAATGAGCCCAAAAATATCAGAGCTTGTCAGCCATAGTTTTCTCTGGATTGTAAACTATCAATATCAGCGTCGGCCATGAAAACCCCCGTATGTAATCATGCTATGGTACTATTATAATGCTTGCCTGGCCATCCAAGACCAGACACTTTTACTCTACTTAATAAAGGTGCATAGTCTGGAACCTGTGTCTACAATTTCCAGTGGTGGTGATTAACATTTGGACTAACGAATCAGAGAAACACGTGGTCTTTTTGTGTCAAAACAAACACATGAGTGAAAAAGAAAGGAAAAACATGGCAGACTTCTGCAGTATCAACAAGGAAAGAACTGAATTCTGTGGTAAAATTGATAGTTTGCAGTGACTTCATGCTGGGGTTGATCTGAACATTCCACCAGAGATACATGTGCCATGGTGACAGTGCATCCATTAGCAAACTCTGCCAAAAAAGTTTCAAGATGGTCTGAAAACTCAAGAAAAATACAGAATGCATTTAAACAATACGTTTTCAGGAGCATGTGATCAATATGAGGGTTCATGGTCTTGTTTAGGAGCTTGATTTTAATTAAACGGTGCCCAACTGAAAAACTGTCAGATCACCTGTTACAGTTCAAGCTAAGTCAGTTTTTATGGTCAGATTGTTTTTGAATAAAGCACAGGTTAAAGCCTAATAATAAAGCCTCAGACTCAGCAGTGCCTACAGTTAGCATCATAGTCCAGGGAATGTTGAATGTTATAAATTGTTCTAAATATTACAAGAATATTTCAGAGAAGAGTTATTCTGCATGAGAGAGACTTGTTCAGTGTCTATAATACAAAATGCTTTAATTGCAGCCATCACCCACTGCTAGATGTTTTTAGTCCCATTTTGTGAAGCAGCCACATGTAATGGTGACTGTGGTGGATTTAATGACATCCTGCTCGTGTCAGATCACACATAAAGCCGCTGAATTAGTAGTTCCTCATCTGTTCAATTGACAGTGGATTGAAATGGTAATTTTCCAATTAGTGGTAGGGGTGCCATGGGAACGGAGCGTGGGAGAGAATACAGCGATGGAGATGACATTTGGACATTTAGGCGTGTCAGTGTTGATGTGTGGATTATACAGTTCAGATGGGGACAGTGGTCAGGTCAGGGATTATCTTTGTCATTAATAAAACTCTGGCCACTGGTGAGGTGAAATATTTGGCCTTGCAAGATAATAGTGTATTAACCATCACAGAGGTCCCAAACTGATTCACCAGTTATTTAATACAGACAGAAAGGACAGCAGTTAGATTGAAGGCTGGTGTATCCGCTGAAGTAGGTGAGACTACTACAGTCTAATAGAACTCTGGATCAAACTGCAAAAATTGCACTGGTAGGATGTGCCAAATGTCCATAGAGGTGCATTAGCCAAAACAATAAAAAAAAAAAAAAAAAAAAAAAGAGCTGTGGAATAATCTGAGAAACTGTTGGGCCTCTACTAGTGAATATGTTTGTCACACTAGTCAGTGTTAGAATACTGCACTTTAGCCATGCTTTTAGCATTTTAAAATGTCTATTGATTTAACATTTTGCTAACAGAAAATTTGCTGAGTTGTGATGACACAATCCTGTTTTATCTGTACTGATGTGTATTAACAGGCCCACATATTACTCTATTTTCTGATCTATGTAAGACTAGTTTATCCTGGCTCACACCTGACTGATTGATGTGTAGCACTCTGAATTGAGTTCTACACAAACTCAGTCTGGAACAAAAGTGAATCCAATTGGTCCAAAATCCAAAATGTCACAACAGCCAAACAACAACAAGCCAAAAAATCTAACTTTTGTTAAATTCAATTGAGAAAAAGCACAGACCTTGTCCCTGTCCACAAATCCACAAAATGTTTACGCTTACCTCTGCATATTTTTCACAAACTAAATAGACAACAACAAACAAAGTAAATGTACTGACGCTAAAATAGGCTGAAGTACGTCTGTCGGCGTTGCCATGTTTGTTTTGGTCCATTTGGGAGCTTAGCCTTTGGATTCTGAACAAACGTCAGTGCTGCTCTGTGACTGGTTCACCCATCCAATTAACCACACAGCATAGTGACAAAGTATGGCAATGGCAGCCACATTTCTGTGACTCTGCCCCAGGGCAGTGGCTACAGATCTTTGCTTTCAAGAGTGCTATATCAAACTTGCTGCAAAGGTTGATTAGTGGCAATATATTTTCTGCATAATATTTTATTACATTTAAGCTGTCTCTTGCAAAACCCATGAATTCTAAGATGACCTCCGACAAGTTCAAAGATACTTTCAGATGCCGATGAAACTAACACCTTTCACTGCTTCAGGATCATTTTATCATGACCTACATCCACCACAGCTAATGAAATATCCACCAAAGAACTGCTTTCCTTTTCATTACCAAAACCGTCCCTCAACTCCTTTGTGCATCGTGACCATAAATTCTTCACTACTTCAGTCGTCAAAACCTTTTTACATGAGCTAGCGTCTCCAAAGCAATGAAAACCCTCTTAAAGTTCACATTATTAGTTGTCTGCACCCATTACCCCTGACAGAGCGCAATTTATTGTCAGTCCTTGAAACGCACTCATTCGTAACCAGGCTAGCATACTTTCCCCCTCACCTTCACCCTATAGACTATCCATAGAAATACAAATTAGCTTGTGATAGCATTAGCAATCAACTAAGAGCTGCACTGTTTATTGTTCCCATTCAATCAATATGACAGGTGGCTCAGATCAGGCACTTTTTCTGCTTGGTTGTTAATTACGGAGAGGGCAGTGTTGCTGACTTGAATGACAAAAGCTGGAACGCTGCTCCAGGGCTCGTGAAATGAATCATTAGAAAGTGAGCGAGCGCTGACCAGTTAATGATTGAAGCTTGATGTGGTTCAGTGTATCCTCCAGCCAAACCAAAAGGTGTATTTTAACAGTCACTGTTGGAAAATAGATATTTCTTTTAGTCAGCTGTGCTTTTTAAAATGCAAAATTTCACATTTGTCTCTCTGATTTCAGCACAGTCTCCTGGCTCTGAAGTTCATCCTGACGTTCCTAATCCCAGATGTTCCTAAACCCATCCAGATCCAACTGGCCAGACTGGAGTTTGAGTCACTTGAGGCACTAAAGAAAAAGGTAAACTCTCACTTTGTATTCACTTAACAATTTTTCCCTTATATTTACTAGATGTGCACTATATTTTCACGTAATGTAAACCTTTTATGACAATGTATAATAGTTATATAGAAAATTCATTCTGGAACCAGCAATATAATGTAATATATATATATATATAACGGTTAAAAACATACACATAAGTATTTTGTCTGTGCCCTCTAAGTTGACAGTTTCATATAGACAGCAGTGGTAGGACAGCCTTAATGTCCTGAGACAGAGCGGTGATTAGAATGCTCCAGTGGCTCAGAAACAAGGCAATCAAGCCCCCCTGAAAACTGACATTAACTCCACTGTGATGTGTCCACGCCCCACCACAGCTCGCACAGGCCTCTTCATTCTCTTGTATATTCTGTTTATATAGATAGTTCTTAACATTGTGGGCAACAACTTCAGAAAATAAGCACACAATTTTGAACTAGTATAAATTACATCCAGACTATTACATTTTTTATTTTATTATTTTTTTTACACTTTCTTGAGTATTTTTAGACTTGTAATTTGTACTTGGGTAATATTATTTTGAAGTACCTTTATTCTTAAGTCAGTACAATTCGTGACTTCATTACTACATACATATTTATTTTTATGAGGAACATTACGAAATAGTGAGCCTTATTACAGGGTAGCCATGGGGTCTTAAAAGTCTTAAAAAGCTCTTAAATTTCATGTTCCTAAATTAAGGCCTTTAAAAGTCTTAAATTATGTTGGCCAAGTCTTATATTTTTCACAAAGGTCTTAAATTTCATTAGCCTATTTTTTTGTACACTCAACTGGGCTGCAATGCAATGTTAAACAGAGGGAGAAAAAAAACAACAACATGAAATCACGTAACGTGAATGAATGTGGAGTATGTGCAAACAATATTTTTCTGGCGCCAGCGGCAATGAGTGAACAAAGTACAGTGGAGGAAGACATTGGATGGATCATGGGGAAGTGTAGATTTAATCCACAGTGGCTCTTAAATTCTAGATATAGTACTGTAGTTGGTTGGTCATTATTAGAATTGGATGTGGTGTTTTTCGCCCCATAATAGGTGTGATGTTGGTCTTAATTTTCATTTTTCATTCAGTAGTCTTAAAAAGGTCTTGAATTTGGGGTTGTCAAACCTAGGGATACCCTGTAATAGTGCATTAACAAAAACCTGATTCACAATGAACAACAATGATTCAGGTTTAGTAACTATTAATGCAGTTATTGATCCTTCATTAAGGCTAATTAAGATGCAGTTATTATGATGTGGTACCACTTATATTAAGTTTTTTCTAATGTTTTTTTTTTCTATCGCTGGCAAAACTGAAATTGAGACCAACAGTGAGATCATGTAGTCCCATCTCGTCTTCCTTTTCTCTTCCGCCGTGGTTGATAACAGACTGCCTCCTCCCATCATAAAGCACACACACAGGGGCCATGTTCATTAGCACAGCCTCTATAGCTCCTCAGAATGGACCAGAGCCTGTCCCACACCACTTTACTGAAGATGAATGGTGCGTCAGGGGTTAATAGACCTGATCTGGTCCATAGTTGCTCAGTGCTCAGGGATGTGCTGAGTGCATGGGCTTCTGTACCATCATTTATTCTCCAGTGTGGGTTTACTCTGCTTCTTACTGGCTTTACAATGTACAGCTCCTAACCTTTAGACTTAGACAGACTTTATTGATCCACAAGGGAAATTACTTAGTTTTTGTTTGGGATTGATATTAGAGATGGAGTATGTATATTTCTGTGTAATACCCCAGTAGTCCTGGTAGGTTCCATTGCAAAAGAAAAAACTGGACAAAAGTTTTAAATGTTTCGCCACCCATCCAAGTGGCTTTGTCAGCCTCTTACTAAGATATGTTTTGTCTTTTTTGTTTGTTTTGGACACATAAAATGAGAATATGTTGTTAAAAGCTATTAAAAAAGCTGATTAAAAATCCAACTTTGAACTATGGTATAAGTGATATTTCCACACTTTTATGGTAGAGCTCATCTGTAATTCCTGCCTCGTAAGTCATTTTTATTGCATACCTTTCTGTGACTCAAACACATATTTCTGACATAGAACACAACACAGAGAAAATATCTTAATGCTTTAAGAAATCATTGAAGTTTATTGTTTTCATGTTTTTTTAACAGAGAGCACAGCACAAAGTGTGAGTATCTGGATGTGTTTTGATTCGTTGATGGAGACATTAATTAACATTTTGTTTTTTATTTAATTGTGTGAGAGGAAAAATGCCTTGGTTGCTGTGTCGTGGTGGGTTATTAATATCTAACTCTTGTATTTGTCTGTGCATCTGAACTAGTCTATCACTGTCCTTAAAATAAAATGTAATATTTGTTGTTTTAATTTTAGCATAACAGAATATTGTATTAATTAGCCTCCCCATTGTAAACCTTAAAAAAAAAGAAAAAAAAGAGGCTTCATCTATGCTAGTCCAGGCTCATTCCTAACATTACAGTGCACTGACGTAAGCAGTGCTCTATTAGAGGCAAAGAGAGGAGTAAAATAGACAATGATGGATCTCATTTAGCCGTGTGCTTTCCGGCTGCCTCTCTGTGGAAATAATGTCTGCTGTAAGCCATTCAAGAGGGTGTTTTTAGCACTTCCTTCAAATGTATTTTTAGTTTTAATACAATAAAAAGTAACATATCTAGTCTCATATTCACATTTCCCCAAGAGAGAAACCCAGTCAGATCCTCATTCACCTGTGGTCACGACTGACTGTCATTGTAATAGTGGCATTATGAGTTGTTAATTACAGTGTGCTTAAATAGTGGGTTACTTATTGTTGTTGATACATTGGTAAATTAAAGGTGTACTATGCAACTTTTCTGGTGGAGGATTTGCTGTCTGCTTGTTTCCATGAAGATGTTATTGCTTTTCCTGAAATGTTCCACAGTATTATGTGGCTAAAGAACAACCGTGAAAACATGCATGGCCACATATGACTTGTAAACCTGGCCCAATTGGTCTTTTTGTTCATTTCCATGAAGATAGAAATGACCTACCTGTTTCTTTGAGCACATGATGTTTCTGTTTGCTGTAATGGGACAATCCTATTCATTTGCCTTCTATTATATAATAATAATATAATTTAAGTTGTATTGTTTTTACCCAGATGGAGCAACACTCACTACATTATTCAGATTTGGAATAATTTAAACGATGCTATATTAAACATAGGCAGATTATGGTTTTAAATATGGTTCAATGTAAACAGCAATACTGGTCTATATAATAGAAACTGATCTATTGACTTTCTGTTTAAAACTGCTTCTTCATAATGGCGACATGATTTTCATGCAATTTTATATTGTTCAAAAATTGGTACATAACATTATTGTTACATTAAATGTATGATCTAGAGTTCGATTTTTAGTACCTAAGCCAGAGATAGGAGGTAGGTGAAAACATATTGCTGGAGTGCTCGAATTCAGGACACTACAGGATTACTCAAACATGCATTAATCAATCACAATACAATTTTGAGTAAGCTGCTGCAGAGGGAACAGTATAAAAAAGTAAAATAAAAATGTATTTGAAACACTCCTCCTTTAATGGTACAATTAATCATGATGGGATTATCTACCTTAAATTAGGGGTGTCAAATTATCGCGTTAATTGCGATTAATTAATTACAGTCATATTTAGCGCGTTATGTTTTTTAATCGCGTTAATCTCATTTTTAATCTCTAACTTTAGTGTTTCTGTATGTGAGTTGCTTTATTATAAAACCTGTTTTTATGTGTTGTTGGGACAACAACACACACACACGCACAAACAAAAAACACATTTATACATTTTTTAATTTCGGCAATTCCACTCATTGTCGGAAACCCGCACAAAACACGCGCAGTAAGAGCGACGTTTACGGCGTCAGTCGCACAATGGACGAGGTCGAAGAGCCAGTAGAACAGAGGCAGCAGTGCACAGGTAAAAACGCATTCGTGTCTTGGAAATTATTCTCCCGACGTGAAATATAAAAGAAAATAACAAATATAATATCGCCTACAACTTAAATGTCACTGGTGAAAACAACCTGCATAGACTCATGATGTCTGCACTACTGTCCTATAGTGACCTGCCACATGAGGGACACGCACACAAACACACACAAACACACAACACACACAAACACAAACACACACAAACACACACAAACACAAACACACACAAACACAAACACACACCTTCATCATCGTCATTAACCTGAGAACGCGCGGACCACGTTTCCTTCCGTAGTTACTGCGCGGACACCGACGTGCTCCCGTGAGCCGCGTGTGGATCGTGTTTTCTCGCGTACGCGGCGTAAACCGCGCTTCCTCCTGTGCGCCTCTAAACCAGAACTAACACCAAGACTAAAACCAGGACTAATTCAGTCCAGGACTAAACCAGGACTAAACCAGGTCTAAACCAGAACTAACACCAGGACTAACACCAGGACTAAAACCAGGATTAATCCATTCCAGGACTAAACTAGGACTAAAGTAGGACTAAAGCAGGTCTAAACCAGGACCAAAACAAGGACTAAAACCAGTGATCTCATATATAAAGCATTTCTCTATCAATAATATTTTTAATATGGTTAAGGAAAGACTGGACTTTTTATTGTCTTTAAGTAGACAAAAGTTATTATGTTCAGATTTCCTCGTCTTTGCTACTTTACAGCAAACAGTTTCTTATTCATGGAGACTTGGGCTCAACAGCCAATTTGGAGAGATTTGTTAAACAATAAATGACTTTATAAAGTCACTTTTTTTAAATCTATATCAGTCTTTTGATCTGCCACAATAATGTAATAATGAATTTAAATGAAAATACCTCAAATTGAAGGCTTTTCTCAGCAATTTTTAGGTGAGATTAAAATGAGATTAATTAGATTAATTAATTACAGATCATAATTAATTAATCTCTCAATTTTTTTAATCGCATGACAGCACTACCTTAAATATTCCTAAATGTATGTTCAGTGATTCAATCATCATAAAGATAACATGCTGAAGCCCAGTTGCCCTTGAGTGTTACATGAGTGAGGTGACCCCTATTAGCCGTGTACCTTAAACAAACAGAAGATAATGACTGCTCCACCACAGGCTTACATTACACACACTACAGTCTCTGTGAGGGTGTCATCTGCACTTCACATATATCTGACCTAAACATTTTACCTCATTTACTTCATCAGTGACAGTAAGCCAAGGTCAGTACACTGTATACAAGGAGTCCATACAACGTGACTAATATAACACTTCCACAGTCACATATTGGGTTTCTATGTGTAAAGAAACAGTGTCTTAGGTAACTACTCGTGTCAGGTCAACTGTAGTGTCCTGTCTCTAAATATTTAAAGATGCTCTGTGGAACTTTTCTAGCAGAGTTCAGGCCACCTTCTTGTCCCAGTAGTGATATAACTGAAACCACGAACTACTCTGAGAAAGATACGTTTATCAGCATACTGTGGAGCATTCCAGCAAAGCAAGATCTTCATGGAGACAAGCAGAAAAGTGATATGCCACATGTTTAAAATGTCCTGTTCTGATTGTATGTTCAGTAGTTCTTACCTCGGACTAGTTGTAGTTTGTTGTTTTCTCAAATATTATCATTATGATTATTATTATTTAGCAATTCAGGACTATAGAGGACTATACCCTGGCCTATATCTTATATAATGTTTTTAAAGCGCCCATATTACACTGTTTTCTGATATATGTTATAATGATTTTTCTTTGTCAAAATGATTCCTGTGTTTTGTTTCATTCATACATGTTTAACACACAAATTTTGCATATCAAATGGAAAACACTTTGTTCCACCTTGTGATGTCATATGATAATAAGTGCTCCACTGTCAATACACACTACTGAACCAAAGGGGAAAGGTAGCTGTTAACTTGAAAAAATACCATGACATCACAAGGTGGAACAGAGCATTTTGAGCCTTAGATCTGTAGACTAATAATAAAGGGTTACTCAGACATGTTTGAATGAAACAAAATACAATTCTGGGTGTGTTTTTGAGGAGGTAACACCATTCTAACATGTCTTAAAACTCACAAGAGTCAATTTTGCATAATACAGAACCTTTTAAATAATCACTGTCAGTTATTTTTCAGTACACATTTGTTTTATTTTTTCCCCTCAACCAATTCAGTCTAACTAAGCAATAATCCACAGAACTAGCATTCACCTCGCCTGAAGCCCCGAATAATAAATGGCATATTTCTGGACTTGACTTTTAATTAGACGAGGCTGGTTCAGTCTGCTTACTGCACACAATTGATTCTGGTGAACCCATTGCCCTGGCACCCTCCCTCTCTCCCCCTCCCTCCCTCCTCTCTCTCTCTCTCTCTCTCTCTCTCTCACAGCAGTCAGTTGATGGTGACAGGTCATTACTGCCTCATACATAGTGTCTGTTCATTGGCAAACACACACTAACTTGTGACGCATCAGGGTGAATGTGAATCAGCTTTCACACTGTCTGCCAACTCAGGACTAGTGTGGACTTTGGGATGGTCAATGGGGATGACAATTTGAAGCTACTCTCATATCCAGAGACATTAAACATTTTGACTACTTTTTATTATACTCTTTCAGCCTTGAAGTTTTGTTTGATTTTATATAAACTGGGATCACTTTGCAGTGTATTTAGAAAAATATTCAACATTGCCAGACTGGGCCAATGCCTAAATGGTCTAGTGGATCTTAAACTTCTGATGGGACTTAAGGTGTTCTGTAGTTCTGGACTGTTTCATTTAATTCTACACTAATTTGATGAGTTTTATTTGGATCTGTTCTTGTTTATAGTTTAGGAATAGTTTAGTTCTATTTAAAACAGGGTTTTTCTGGTACTCATGCGGAATATTTTCTTTGGTGGTACTTGGTGAGCATAGTTTGAGAATGACTGTCTTCTTTTGTATATGAAATACAATATCTTACAATAATCAGTGTGGTGCTGGATCGCGTCATCTCTGTATTAGCAATTCATTTCTGGTGGTGTAGACAGCAACCTTGTGATGGGAGTAAAATGTTCTGAGCAAGGTATATTTTTGTCACTAACCACATATATTACACTATAAAGAGACTGAACAGTTGTTTTCAAATATGAACAAAAAACAAAACACTATTTACCTTTAATCCCATTGTGTTTGTTGGAGAATGGTCTGGCTGAGCTCTGTTTCGTCTCTGTTGATCAGAACTGACATCTGCAGCATTAAAGGGTCACACAGACAATCAACCCAGAGGAAATGTACAAAAGCATAGGAGGGGAGGTTAGAGAAGAATCTATCAATTTGCCTCCAAGTTTTAAATATTAACAAGTATTGTAAACATTGCATCCACAGTATACAAATAGAAATATTGATCTAAAATGCATTAATAATAGAAATGGGACCACAGACCTGTCATTTGTTAACCCAGTGTGTATGGCACAGAGTCTATTTTTATTATTATAGTAAGTACTCAGGTGTGGGCGGGGATAGGGGGCAGGTGAAAACAACATTTCAAAGCACTCAAGTCTTAGGATTACATACACGCCATTAAACACTCACTATACAACATTGATTAAGCAAATGATGATGATGGAATGTAATTATATCATGCTTAAGAAGAATTTAAACTGGAAAATTAACTAGCTGCTTTATATTATATACGCAGGAAACAAAACTGCAGATGAAATGACAATGGACCATTACAACACATAAAGTTTAAAAACATTACAGTCTGTCTAAATCTTTTATTAATACTATATGCCACTTAATCATAAAGTATTTAGTACTAAAGTACATCTTGTGGTGACTGCAGTTTTCTTAATCAATACTTCCCTCATTACTTTATACAGGATCTGTCTGATGTCTCCTTTGTATTTTCACTAAACAAGCTCTAACCTAAAGCCCTGCCTCAGCACCACCTCCGTCAAACTTTATCACTGCTCTGCTCCTCTCTCGTTTGGCCCAAAGCTCTGTAGCATTAATTGAACGTGGACTACTTTCAGTAGCGTATAGGGAGGGAGAGGAGTGTCGTCTTCCAGATTAATTTATTTAAGAGCCAAAGGGAATTTGTTGGTAGTGGAAGATAGCTTTTGAATATGTGTTTTGTGCCAACTGTGTGGAAAATGCAAGCAGTGTGTTTATTTTTGGGCAGCTTTAGACCAACCGGATCAGGACACGCAATCAGGTTCTTGCTGATTGTGCAACTTGCTTATCTAAACAATACACAACATTATCTGATGTGTTTGGTTCCAAAATATTTCATATTTCATTTCTTTTTACCTGTTTTTCAATTGTTGTCAAAGCTGGGACTGGATCAAAAAGATAAGATGCTGCATTCATAGCAACCCGGAAAAATAAATAAAATAAAAGTACAATATTTCTACAATTATTTGGCGGTAGTACTATGTATTTAACAAATAAAATGAACCTGACCTGCTACAGTTTTGTGACCAGACTCTGAAGTCACCCACATGAAATTGGCTCTCAGATGTCAAAACCATAATTTGTATTCATAGTTTACAATTTGGTTATTAATTAATCTTTAAAGATGCTGCATTCTTTTCATGTAATAGGGTCAAAGTGAGCTGTGTTCTATCTACTTTTTTATTGTTCGTGAATCAGTAAGTAATTGTAAACTAGTGTGATACTTGTTGATAGCATTACTATGAGGACAAAACTCCACTCTGAAAGTTGTGAAACACACTTATAAACTCATTGTGGTGAATAATTAAGATACAAATACATTGGGAGGTGAGGAAAATAAATTTGCACCACTGTTTAAAATGAACTAGTTTTGTTTTTCCACATTTTTAAGGTACAGCTTGTTAAATGTACCTTGTGTAGGTGTATGTATAAAGCCTGGAATAACTCAAAGGATAAAATTCAACAATTTATTGCCAAAAACACAGATTTTTTGAGTTACTATTATTAACACTTTTGTTGTGTGATTAATTGCATCTTTTTACAGTTTAATACATTTGTTTTTTATTTAGGAAGTGTTAGTGTTTAATGTGTTATTTTTGTTGTGTTTTTCAGAAAATGTTGGAGACCTCTGAGCTGAGTAAAGGCTTCCACTGATGATGAGAGACTGAACATGAACTTTTCACAAAATGCGACAACAGAGCGACTGTATGTAACTTGCAATATAAACCTAGCTGCTTCAACATGGAGACTCAGTTTACAGTCCAGGGATTAGGAAAATCTCTGAGAATAAAAAATTGGACAGCATCTAATTCTGTAAGAAATGTTTATCATTACAGTTTCCTGCTTCTCCACATTTGTTGTTACACATTAGTATTACATCCTTAATGCTGGAGTGGGCACTGGGCATAGTACTGTTAAAAGACTGATTAAGATTATTCCAAGTCTAAATTTGTGCTTACATGGAATGGTGATATTGATACAACCAAATTACCGAATAAGGTTTAAAGATATTGAAAAATTAGATAGACAAATCAGACTAGTTGTAGCAATATTGTCTAAACATAAAATCTTAAAGACATGTATTTACTTCTGAATCAGCAAATCCCAAACATTGAGGTATTATGGAGACTGTATAGTATGAATGTACTGTAATATAAAATAGGTGTTGGTAATACAGGGAGCAATATGATGGGAGGGGGTTATTTAAAAATGACATGAATTGCTGTAGTGTACAGTACACATATTAAAAACTGTAAGATTTTATGACAAAGCATTATTTTACATTGCGCTCAGTCACTTTGGGTTCTCTAAGACTGTATTCACGTAAACTTAATTTAGTACTGTAAAATTCCAGCCTCAGACCAAGTACGCACAGCACCAAGACTCTGAAAACCATAAAAAATACTAACAATATCCAGCAACTAAAGCTTACAAATTACTTAGAACTTTGACTAATAATGAATAAATAAACACAAAAATGTCAATAGATATGAGCTGATCAAAATTAAAAGTCTCAGATGTAAACTTGCATGGCACTTGTATTAGATTGTATTCCAACTCTAGACAGAAGTTTGATTTGAGTCATAAAAACAGTTTTGAACTAAACGTCCAAGAAATCTTGAGCCAAACTTTGGATTGGATTTGATGGAAATTGTGTGACTATTATCAGCATATTATTCTGAAATGCAAAAGCTCTGTAATACATTTATGATAAAGAAAAACATTTCAAAACATAAAAGCATTAATAATAAAACGAGCAAATGAGCAGACACACTCCAGTAAACCAAGTCAAAAAGAGTCATGTAAAAATGTATTTCTTTACTCTAGAGTACACATATTAATTTGTATGTTTAACTTGAATACAGCTGCTAGTATTAAAACCATATTCTGATAAAATGCATCAAACAATGATATCCACTCATTAAGACTTATTATTGTAAAAGTTTCCCTTTGAACACGATCTTGCAGAAATGAACAAAGACTTTTCTACCAAAGCTTCTCCATCTCTCAGTACTGAACATGTTTCTTGTGTTTCTATCTGGTATTCACAAATGTATTTAGCATGTCACATGACCAGGTTATACCTCTGTTTATGTACTTATGTCATGTTTGAAGTTTGAACCACCCTGGTGCCTTGAACCACCTGTTTTGCTGCACTATGTATTGACAAAAGCAAATTAAGTGAATGCATTATGGATAATAAAAAAAAGACTGAGAAAGGAAAGAGTTCTTATGATTTGTGCATAAAGGTGATTTGTGTGATTGCTAACTAGTAATTTACATCGTAAAATCTGTATTGGTTATTGGGTACCATTAGTTATGTGATGACATTGTGCCAAGCGCTATTTAAGGATGCACTATGTAACTGCTCTAGATAAGGGCTGGCCACATGCTTGTCGAAGACATTGCTATGCTTGGAATTTTCCAGAGTATGACATTAAACGTAATTTCCATGGAGACAAGCAAATGACCCCACAGGCCAGGTTACAGCAGGTCATATCTGTGGAGAGGTGAGGCATTAATTCTAATGAACATTCCCAGCAAAGCAATAACACAAGCAGGTGGCAGACTCCTTCACCAAAAAACTTACATAGTAAACTTTAGCTGTCATCAAGATTTCTATCGTAAATCAATGTATTTTTTGTATACAGTATATAGTGTTCTGTTAGTTTTGGGCCTGCAGATAAGTAACTACCAATATCATAGCTGCACAGAGAAAGTGTTCCGTTTTGGTTTGTTCTGTGATTTGAGAGAATATGGGCCAAAGTTGAGAGAGGTATTCAGACCTGTCCTTCTCAGAGTCTCATTGCTCTCACTCGGTGCCAAGTGCTTAGAGAGCAGTGGACTCTCAGTTTCATGTCGCTCATAAATCTCCCTGAGGACTTTTCAGCGCCGCTCTAACCCCGGCTCACATCTCAAAGCGTCCCACTCACACCCATACATATCTGCACAGCATGGGAAATCACTGTGCTATTTAGAAAATGTTTACAGCTGAGTCTGTCTTAAAGATGCACTATAATTTTTCTGGTGGGTGGGAGGTCGAACTTGCTTTTATTCAATACTGGGTGGTTTTATTACTTAAACATACCGTGAAGAACATGCATTCTTACGATGACCCACTTGTCTCTATGGGGCTGTAATGACATTCTGTCAAACTTTCCATGTAAAGTAATACTACTTATGGAGATGAGCAGGTGATGGACACTCCACCAAGTCACATAGTGTTTGGCTGTGATCCAGAGTAAATGCTGGTGAATATGCTTGTGTTCAGATGGGCATGATTGACAGGTGGATTAGCCAATGAGGGGCATGTATGGTTCTTCTGCAGCAAAACAAATATGGCTGCTTATTAAGAAAAAAAAAAAGAGAAAAATATCACAAGGAGCTGAAAGACACTGCAAATTTCTGCAGAATCAATGAGCAAAGCACTAATCTCTCATCACTCCTGTCATTTTGTTTGTAAATGACAGGAGACCAATGAGCTCCTTCATTTCACATGCATCACTGAAAAAAAAATTAAAAAAATCTAATTGCATGATTATGTTTGCAACAGAGGCATGAGGATCAGACTGAGATCCCTCTGTATTAAAAAACAGAACATATCATTCTGGACTCGCCAGTCAAACAGTGCATCTTTACTGCCACATTTTGAAGCTATAGCATGCAATTTCTCTATAGATAATAGTTTGCTACTGTAACAATTCTAAGATGTTAAAAATATGCTTACATATTTACATACTGTCCTATAAAAGCTCAATTTCTTAACCATTGTCTCGGTATAGATAATATAGGTGGGTAGACAGGCTATGGTCTTGGCAACAGTTGCCAAGTACGATTTGTGATACTTAGACTCCAGATTGTTATTACTTTTTATGCAAATAACTTACTTTATTCCAGTTTTGAGCAGTTCATAGTAATACTACAGTAATACTAATACCATGATGTGAGGTACTTTGTGTAAAAGTGTAAGAATGACTTTGTCAATAACTCCAGTCAGGACACAGGATCATGAGACAGCCACCATTTTATTTCTGATATTACCATAGCTATATGTAACAACAGTATCAACTACAGAATAATACAATGATGATTTCAATGTTTTTCTTTCTGCAAATTCTTTTTTTTTGGTCCGGTAACTTAATTTTTTTCAACTGTCTCTCCAACATTGTACAACACATGCACATCATTCACCTTTATACAGTAGGACACCAGTCAAACATAATATCCATTTTTCTCACTTTATTTTCACCCATACATTACTATTCATGGTTATAATAAGGCTAAGGGACTGTACAGCTATGCACCTCAAAGATTCACTCGTCTGGTCTACAGAAGGAAAAAAAAGAGCACCATATTTACATCTATATTTACATTTGGTATTTAAAAACATGACTCAAACAACAGATCAAAAATGGGGGAAAAATGCTTGACACAGACATAGCTTTTCTCTTTTTCAGATGAGTCCAATTTGAATGAAGAACGATCAAACAAACTGTACACGTAGCTGCAATACACTTAGCTTATTGCCAATGCCCTTATAGTGAGAGTCTGGGTTTGATGGAGTCAGGCTGTATGCAGATTTACATAAGACATAAACACTAGGTCTACACAAATGAATTGATTGTAGTTGTGGCCTGCTGCTAAGATTTACACCTGCCAAAAGATATCAAAATTGAAGGCATTTTCAAACATTTTCAAAGACAAGGAAAATGTATACCTCAAAACTGGGAAGCAGTTTAATACATACTGTATAAAGAAATGGACTAAGTGAGTGTAATGTGGGCCACAGCGTTCAGGTCCAGTCAAATGAAGTTCACCGAAGCCTGCAGCTACAGGAGCGTAATTGGAGCCAAGCTCCATATTAGGAAGAAATAGGAATTTATTTACAGACAATTCCGAAATAAATGCAGAGTGGGTTTATACGAACATTTAAGACCAGAATGATAAGGCTCACAGCAGCAATTACAGAGAGAGGGGTGACAATTTTTCAATGCAAAATCAGTTGGAAACTGAGTCAGTGGAGCCAGAAGCGCCTCCATGAACACTTCCCACATGGAACACAGCGGCTATGTCCATTTATATATACGGTCTATGGTTTACTGGCAGCTAGCTCTCTAGGAATACATGTGTTTAACCACTTACACTTGTGTTCACTTTAACCCCAAGGAAGCCAATATTTGTTCTTCCATAACTAGAATAAACTACATAGTAGCTAACATATTCAAGTTCCTCAAGATTCAAAATATGTATTTTTTTGCTTGGCAACAATGGCCAATGCTTTTTACATTCAACAGTTTAAAATTGTAGGATCAGTCATTTGCCAAATAGCAAACAAACCAAACTTTTCTGCATTTCTAAATAATTTGACATGGTGGATGCTAGTAATTTGTCTCATTACATTTCCCCCAATAATTGCTTCCCCACATGGAAATTAAACCTTTCCAAGAAATGATTAATCATCCATACAGCCCCCTGTGCCAAACCCAGACTCACACAGTAAAGATTTCCTCTGATTTGTTCTTTCTCTCGGCTCGTAAAGCTGCTCAGATCTGCCCTGACTCCAGCCGGAGAGATTCACTCAGGCCCCTCTTGGTTCAGCATCAAAATCAACACAAAAATGTACAAGTTTAAAAAATAAAATAATTTCTTATACCATATATACAAACTGGACACATTGACGCACGACATGTAAAATAATAGTTACATGAGATCGCAGAAGCCAATAGAAGTCAAAAACTCAAAGGGTACACTTAGCAGTAACTTTTGTGTCGTTGCTACAGTACAACTTTACAGAGAAGAGCAGCTTGTTTCTAAAGCAACATTTTTAAAGGGGTAGTGTGACCACGAGAGCAGATTTGTCAGAATAAAAAGCTTAAAAACAAGAAAAATAAAAACAGATTGTCTGAGTGCAAGTGAAGACAGGCATTTACAAAGTGAGGTGAACTCAAACCTCTGCTCAGAGTGGTCACAGAAAGCCCAGCCTGGGACGTCCTGCTGCAGACAAATACAGGCAGGGGTCAGAGGAGCTGCCCGCTGCAGGTTTCACAAAACAAGACTCTACTGTGGGAGAGTGATGGAGTATTAGGACACACTTGAGGATTCATAAATGGACAATGTTACAAATAATATACAAATGCACAATTTCATTCATCTGCTGTGAATTTACAGGTCACAATTCAACACCAATTTGGTATGCTGTTATTTCATTAGTTAATATTCTCCAATTATAATTAAATTATCAACATAAAAACAAACTTGGTTGCCACATTATTGTGCCCAACAGCCCTCATATATTTCCTTTGGTAATAAAATACTCTTTGCACAAAATCAGTTTTCACCCCAGATCTCCCGCTATAGACATTAATTTGTCTTAAAGTTAAGACTACTCTCATTAAAAACATATTCCTTAAAATGGAACAAGACTCATCCTAATCCACAGTGAACTATTACTCCATCATTGAAACATGTGGGTAACTAAAACCTGTTAAAATATAATATAAAAATAAAGATTTAAAACAGTTTAAAACTGACTCATGAAGCAGGACACAATTAGGCAGGCAGTCACATGACCTGCTGAGGGTCACATGACCTGCCTGGGGGCGGGGTCATATGACCTGGCAGCAGGAGGCGGGGCCTGAGGTACAGAGCAGTCCATCTCTGGGCCCGTGCTGGATGTTGACAGAGATGGTCTTTTCACACAGAGGTAGTTGCAGTACCCCATTCTTGAGGGCAGGGGCACTGTGGGTGTGTGGCCTGCGAGGGGCGCTGTGGTGGCAGGACGCTGCAGTAGTAGGCAGTGTGATGGTGTCCAGACTCCCTGTGGAGCCAAAGCACATCCTCCAGGCTGACCTGTCCTGGGCCTTTATGCCTCGAGGTTCTATGATGTATTGGCCCTCACCGTCCACGCCCCCTCTCTGGCTCCGCCCCCCACGCTGCAGCTGCGAGCTGAGGCAGAGGCTCATCAGCTTCAGACTCTCCATCACGGTGGCTCGAGATGGCCGTGACATCACGTTGGGGGCGGGGCTAGAAAAGCTACTGTTGTTGCAGCAGGATGAAGGGCTATGTTGTCCTTTACTTCCCCCTACTGGTCCTCCTCCTCCTGTCCCACTGTCACTGCCTCCCCCTCCAGGAGGACTACCCCGATCTGGGCCTGAGCTGCCCCCTCCCTCTCCAGGGGGCGGGCCCGACCCACTGCCCCCTGAGCCCCCTTGGCTGCCTGGGGGGCCCTCACTGCTGTCCCGTCTGTTCCAACCCAAACCAGAGTCCTTGTCCAGCCTGCGCCGGTGGCTCTCAGAGTCATCGTCACTGGTCTCAGAGCTGGAACACGAGGAGCCACGGCCCTGGCTCTTTCTCCTGTGGTAGCGTTTCTGAGGGGCCCCTGGAGACCCCTGTCCAACTGCAGGGCCTGAGCCCGGGCCCATGTTCATCCGGAGGCGACTGAGTTTGGGAGGGAGTCCCTCATCCATGTCGAAGTCATCATCAGACTCTCCCTCCTCCTCAAAGATCTGGTTCAGCACAGGAGCACTCTTTCTGGAGGTTAGTCGGTTTGTTATTGAGGGGGGCTTCCTACGCAAGACCACTTGAGAGGGCAGTGGGGAAGGGTCATCTTCCTCCTCCTCATCTTCCTCCACCCTGAAATGACAAGATACACTTGTCAAGTTAGCATTTATAATTAACAAAATAAAAGAATTGTGAATTGACTGTAACATCACAACGTTCTGAGATGAGAGAGCGGGAGATTTGCTGGTACCTGAAGAGGCAGGTTCTCTGTTTGGCTGTAGATGACGTTGATGGAACAGGGCCCCTTAGTGCCCCAGGGCCCGGAGCAGGAGTGCCTGAGGACAAAGAACTGGCTCCCTGAAACCAGATCACAAAAACATGACACATACTATACTCAATAGAACCAGGCAGTGTCAAAGGAATCCCACAGGGGTCAGTACCTGCACCATCGATGCTGAGGAGTCTGTGGTGTCCTCTCTTCGCCCGAGCTCCATCAGGCCTTTGGAGCGGTGTCCATTGAGTAGATTTTCAGCACTGCGTGCTGGAGACTGAGGACCTCCTCCATGAGAAATAGATGATGCAGCCAAACTGTCCTCAATGTCCTGGTGCATGTCCATTCGGGTTGGCCATGACTGTCTGTGGGACACAGGAAGGTTGTATTGTTTAGTCTGTTCATTTGACTTAATTTAATCTGTATTTTACATAGAAAACATTAAAAGAAAGTGATGGAAATGTTGCATATATCTTGTCAAATAAGGTTACAGTGGCCCTGAAAATCTACTGATAAAATTTCAGCTGGAAAAGTGAATAGTTTAGTCAAGTAAATCAGTACTAGTGGTATAATACATTATATTACTGTTGACCAGAGCCATCACAGTCCTGCTCTCAGGAATCACAGTGGAGTTTGAGAGTCTCACTTTGGAAAATGTGTCAGGCATCATGAAGTCCTACATCACTCGTCCCTAGCTCAGCTCTCTGTGTGTGTGTGTGTCTGCATGTGAGTGTGCGTGTCTGCATGTGTGCGAGTGTGTGTGTGCATGTGTGTGTGCGCAAGTGCAGAGAGAGTGATGCGAAGGAGCAGACAGGAGCTGACATTTCACAGCACAACAGACTTTTAAAGTCTGGGCCGGATATGTGAATTAAATCATGTCACTGCAAATCACGTCATACATTCACAGTGAAAGAAATAACCTCCAAGCAAAGCATCGCTAACCTTAAAACTATTTACTTCATTTTACAAATTGCATGATAAATAAATAAACTGTCACATGCAGATGCCTTTCATAATAATCAAACCAGTAACCAGTAACAGTAACCAACTTTCAATCATTTCATTCAATCAGAAATACTACAGGTGTATTAGTGTCGGCTTAAATTCCAAATAAAAAATCCCAATCTTTCATCAGAACATGCCTCATAAGCTGCTGTAAGGCCTACATAATCTCTCCTTTATGTCATTTGCCTATTTTTAACCGCCCTCTCCTTCCTTTTCAAGAGGAACAATTTAAGGAAGGAAGCTCTCACACATGGGCTGATAAACATGGAAAACCAGAGGGAATGGAGAAAATGTAAACACTATAGTGAATTTAAGTGAATGTTGTCATTCTGCTGTTTCCATTGTTTATTTAAGGACAGTATGACATGATAGTTTTAAGGATAAGCTCCATGTAAGGGCAATAATCAAATAAAGAATTAAACAATGTGCTGCATTACAACCAAATACCATAGACGCTCTAAAAATAACACACTGAACTGGACATCAACAGATACAAGTTTTTTCATGGCTGATGCCAATACTGAACACTGATTAGAATCCAGAGCCACTAGTGGCTGATAAGCTCTGCCGATATTTTTGGGCTGATATGTAGAACCAATTTTGATTACTTTATCCAAATTATGTAATTTTAATTTGACCACAAACCTTCAAGGAGTCTGCATAGTCACATTTTGAGCAGTTATCTATTTGCATTTAATTTTTCACATAAAGCTTTGAACAAAAACAACATATCGGCCTGTGTTGGAGATTTCAGGCAGACAACCGATTCACTAAAAAGTGCAAATATCAGCCCGATAAATCAGCTAACCGCTGTATCTGTCTATCTCTAAATGAAGCAAACTAAAGACCATCACTGCTCCATTTGCAAACTACAAGGTACAAGGATTCTTGGGAATGTGTGATGGGCAAGTGAAGCAGAAGAAAACCCGTTGAACTTTTAAATGCAGATGAAGCCATTGTAGTTCTATCTGCATCTCAGCTGTAGTCTGTTCACTGGTGTGTATCATTACAATCTCCTTGGCGGGCTCATCATTATGGGGATGTGCACTGGCATTTCCCCTCTGATCATTAACCGACACCAAATGACTTACACAGCTGCACAAAGCGAAAGGTCGGGGTTTCTAAATGGGAAGGAATGATTGGGTGCTTAGTGGTTCTTGGTTGTTCTTGGTGGTTCATAGATATTACTCTATGGGAACCATCGACTGTATAAAGAAGTGGGCTAAAGGCTGCCACACACTACCGTATTTTTCAGTCTTAAGCAATTTTTAAATGTGCGACAAAAAGCGCACACCACAGACACAAGGAGAATCTTATGAGATTTGAAATCTCCGATCACAAAGACTGCAGCGGGATATGGCTGCATATCACAGACTGCAAAGCTGTGAGTGCGATCGTGTCTGCTGTTTCCTGTCTCTAGAGTAAAACGACTTGCTTTGAGATTCTTAAGTGTTCAAAAGATCAGAACATTGTACTTCTTGTTTAGATGTGAGACAAAACTGTCTTATTATTATTTGTGAAATGTGGTGTAATACTTCAGATACATGATTTTTAATGCACAGAGGGCTGGCGATAAAGTACACAGGAAGTAGAGTCTCGATCACTGATTTGCAACTTCACACTGATCCGTGCGCTGTGAGGCTGCAAACAGACATACGTGAGGAACTACTCTTGACTTTTTACTTTTAAAGAACGCTTCAAACTGGATTAATAGCGATGTTTTGTGGACTGGGTATCATTATTTGTATAGGACAAGTTCTATGGATAATGTGGATGAGATGCTGCAGTTTAACTTTACGAGTGGCGAGTAATAAAGTTGCACCATTATTTTCAATATTTCCTGAGATGAGTTTGAATCTTGCCTCTGTGTCCGTCACTCCTCTGCCCCTGACGCTCTTTTATCGGCTGTTACTGTAACGTTGCTGATGTTCTGATCTGACAGAGCAGCTCAGAGTCACACTGACACCCCACACGAGGAGTGCACATTCGAGTCACGCTTCCCTGAGCTCAGGGAGAAGCAAATCACAGTCTAAATTGGGCAAATTCTCCTGTAGTATGTGGCGGCCTTTAGGGAGTGTGACGCTACCCATAGTATTCCAGTCAAATAAAACTCATGATGCTAGAGGTTATAAGGATGAATTTGGAGCCTGGTTCATATTAGGAATAGGAATTTATTAAAAGACAATTGGAAACAGAATCAATGGAATGTAGCGCCTAGCAGGCTAGCTATGTTCATTTACAATCTAGGATGGGAACTCTTAAAATGTATTTCAGTAGCTTGTCTATAACCCTGTCATGATAATTACTATATTGGCTTATCGTTCAATATAGGTAAGCTGGAACAGTGTATTTTTAGGGTCAGTATTTATCGTGTGCACATTTAATTTTTATTTTTTTGGCAATAGTGGGAATTTTTTTTGTTGTTTTTTGGCATAAGATTTAGCTGTAGAAGGTTGAATTAATACCTTCGATTACTCATTACAGATACAAACTAAGTACTAAAGTGTTTCCTTTTGCTTTATGCGTTTTTTTTTTTACAATCATTTGAACTATTTCATGTTTTGTACATTTAGAATAGTTTTTATGGTTTAAATCTGTTCTGGGGTTGTTGTGTTAATGCATAAATACAATTTTATATCATGACAGAGCTACTTGCCTGTCAGCAGGACAACATAATACACACTCATATTTACAATGGAGGAGTCGGTGATGGAATAACATGGGGTAATTACTTGGAAGTTGCAAGTTTCCTATGTTTATTTTATTTTATATATTTTACTCCAGCACTCATGATAAATTTCAGTCGCAATTTAATAAATACATTTATCATATTCATTCTTTTTTTTTTTACCTGAAGTGTGCCTTGAGGTTGCTGGGACTGGAGGATCTGGTCTGGACTTCTTTTTCCTGCTTCTCTCTCAGGATGCGCTCAGCCAGAAGATAGTAGGTGGCTGTGATGTGGTTGTATTTGTTGGTCTCGAGAGCCCTGAAACATATCGTGACAACACCGTGTCATTAAAGTCACATAACGGGGCCATAATGATAACTGACCTAGATAATACTGACATTGATAAGACAAGACATGAAATCAAAGTCTCTCTCCTATGACATTATATTGTTGGCGGGAAGTATGGCGTCTAACTAAATGAAAATTATGAGTGGTAGTACAAAGTTCAAATGCAATTATTTGGTATGGTGGGAGTACTTAACTGCACAACTTTATGATGTATGAAAGAGTCAGTCATCAAACCAATGAGTAAACGAGTTTCATAATTTAGTTCAGGTTTAGATCATGAATATCAGAATAAGAATACTTTACTGATCCTTGACAGAAATGAGTCAGTTCCTCAAAATACAACCTTGCACGTAAAAGCTATAATAAAGCTACCTAGACATTAAAATAACAGTTCAAAAATGTAGGATTATGTAAAGTAAATATTTAATAGTTATGAGTCCTTCAACAGTTTGCATAATATGTCTCCTTAACAATATAGATAGATTAGTTTAATGGTAAAAATACTGCACTTTTTAACATGCATATTTTGTTTTTATAGGATTCTTGATATAGGTTGAATTATACACTGCAGAATGCCTTAAAGTGGTCTCATCACACAACCCACTGACAAGCAAATAGTTCAAATTAGAGACTCTAAACTGCTCTTATTGTACCCCATCCAAAGGTCCCTAGTTGCTGAATGACGCTACACCTCAGAAAAAAGATGAAAAACAAACTCTATTGTAACATTTGAGATATCCCTTAGTCATCCAGGTAGGTTCCATAGTGGTCCATGGGGACTATGTGGTCTGACACTTGTTCTGATATGGCTCACGATCATTCTTAAAGGTTAATTTCTGTCCTGTGAATGCAACTTTTTTAACCTGGACAATGTATCTAGTTTCAACATCTGATTTTCAATACTTTTGACACCCCCACTTAATACTCTATGCAGAACAAGATAAAAATGAAATCTACTGTAACATGTGACATATCAATATGAGTGACACGATTATTAAATTCATGTAAACCCTCAGCGAGACTGCTCCAAACATGGTTTCAATAATATCTGTAACCAAGAGGGAGCTTGTCAGGCACGGATACATCATTTTCAAACACAGCTCCCGCTTTCACCATTTGACAGCTGCTCATTGTGTTATTGGCATCTATAAGATTTTTTTTCTGTGTAATATTTGGTTGATTTTTGCACACATCACATGACAGCAACAAATGGGAACATGCATTTATTAGCTTCGATAGCTTGCATTGGCTTTTCCATTTTGGGAATACACCAAGGTCTCTATTCGAGCCAAATTAGACACGCGGTTATGTAAGTATGTAAAAAAAAAAAGCATCTCGTGTTTATGATGCATGCTGTTTGTTTGAGATATGAGCATTTTGTGGCTTCAGGTATGACAAAACAAACCGAAATGACAGTTAAATTATTTCTGGGTCATGAAGCTCATAATGTATTTTTCCTGAAGCCAAACGGATGCATGCAAAAAAAAAAATACATTTTGAATAAGAAATGTATAACTATAAAGAGGAGGTTGACATGTCCCAGCCTGTTTAAAGCACAGTTGGGACATAATGTCGTAAAAACAAAACAGAACAAAAAAACAACAACAAAAAAAGACAAAATTAAAAGGTCCTATATTACGCAAAATGTACTCTTGTGAATTATAATGCAATTACCTCCTCAAAAACATATCAGGAGTTGTGTTTTTTTTTCATTCACACATGTTTGAGTAACCTTTTATTATTTGTCTGTCTACATTTTCAAATCTCAAACTTGGGCTGAATATCCAAGGTTTGTGTGTTAAACATGTGAGAATGAAACAAAACACAATGCCAGGTATTTTTGTGATGAGAGATAGATCAGAAAATAGTGTAATATGGGAAAATAACAAAAAAAAAAACTACTTTTATTAATTCATCTTATTTTTTCCACAACAAAGCAACCATCTGAGCTTGTATACTTTTGTCTATCCTTCTTCCTCCTACCATTCAAAGGCATTAGGTGAATTGGTAACTTGCCAGTTAATGTTGCACACCGTTCCAAAAATTACGTAAGAAATTATGTGACATATCTGGTTTTACCCAGGCAACAATGAGATTATAGCTATAAAGATGATTAAAAGGCAATAAGCATTTATGCTGTCAGTAAACATAATTAAATGATTGAAAGCTCCAAGTCGGCCTAGAGATAAATTGACAAACAAAAGCAGCTCACATTTTGGGCTATAAAAAGGTCATTACAGTTTGATAAGACAGTATTCCAGTTATAGGTGTTTTATCGCACCGTGCATTATAGCCAAAGTACAATTGTGTAAGTATGGAAATGTGTGGCACATAACCCTGTATTATTGAATAGGCAAACAAGGCTTACTGTCACCTTCAGGCTCTCAAAGCAGTACTGTTTGGCTGTGCATAAGACTAAAAAGGTTTATTCTGCACATAACATAAATAATCATCATAAACATTAAACAGAAGACTATTTAATGTTTATGATGATTATTTATGTTTTGATTTGTTTGCATTGTGCCCCTTTTAATTAAAACTGATCACCTGCACAATCCTGGAGTAATGACTAATTAAGATTTATTTAATAAAATTTAAATGTACGTTTTGTTTATGTTCATAGAGTCATTTTATATAACTACATGGTTACATGTACATACATATATGCTCTCTATGCTCATCTTCTATATTACATACACACATACACAGCTGAGACAGACCTGGTCCCATAAAGAGTTACAATGATATGGTGAAGGAGCAACAAAAGGTGCAAATGGAAACTGTCAACACCTAAGTCCTGTTTTAAATGTGCTTCATGAGGAGAAAGGTACAGAGGAACTGAGAAACCAGGAGGACAGAACAAGTGTAAACATGAAGCTGTTCCCAGATCCACAAGTGGCTCTGTGTGTCTCCTGGAGCTAAAGGGAAAGGCATGTAGAGCCAAAAGCAAGCCTCAGTGTTTGTCCATATCCATTAAAGTTACATAAGAAGAATCAATACTTTTGACGGCCCTGGCCCCTGCCGGAAAATTATTTTTTCCTTTAAGCTAGTGATGCATTTCAAACTTGATACTTGAAAAAAGTTTGATACTAGCATTGTCACGATACTAAAAACAGGAATTTGGTACTAAAGAATAGACTTCACTCAATGCCGATTCTGACATCTCAAAAACTAAAAACACTGTTTTTTAAGACAATAGAATATGATTTTCAACATTAAAATGTACTTTATTGTACATTGTACACACTGCGTTCAGTCCCCGGGTCACCTGGGCCATTCGGTGTGGAATTTGCATGTTCGCCCCATGTCTGGGTTGGTTTCTTCCGGGCACTCTGGTTTCCCCCATCAATCCAAAAACATGTCCTATAGGTACAATCCACCAGCTACGGTAGTTCTAACCAAGGCTAGCAACAAGATCATGGAGATGATGTCCCCAGCAGGGCTCTACAGTTCACCCATTCACATTTGGCATGTGAACAAAGAAAACAAAACAAACGCACATATGTGGGTGCTTCTTGCAGCCCATAATAAGGAGCACTGCGCACAGACGTAACATGACGAGATAAACATTCTAAAACGTATGAAATAACAAATCAGCCAAAACAACATTCTAAAATGTATCAAAGATTAAGGGTGTGCCAACACTAGGAATTTAGAACCATGCCCAAGCACAGATAGCGCCTAAAGAGCAGTACTTTTGTCCAGTGATGTCATACAAGGATCCAGTGAATAAACTCCACTCCAAAACACTGGGGACTGGGGACAGTGACAGAAGTTTTGCAGTCTCTTGTCTCTGGCTGTCCTCACTCCTCCACGCAGTTATTATATCCATAAACTCACAGAGGAGCACGTATAGCAGCAGGACTCATATCTGTCTCACTATTTAATAGATATTTCATGCCGCTGGACTTATTTTCTCCACTAAAAGTGTAAGCTCTGCTGCGCGAAATGCAGACAAACAGTACCATGTGATGACATCATTGGGTTGTGGCAGGTGGGAGTGTGGGCCATAGAACCCACAGCAATTGTGCATGAGCACGGCACAGTTCTAAAGTCCTAGTGGCTGTCAGCCGGAAAGAGGTCATGTCGACCTAATTACAAATCCTGGCCTACCGATTATGAAATGATGTTTGTCTAAACTTAGTCTGTAGTTTGTTTGTTTTGTTTTTTTTTCCAATTAAATTTTATGTTAGTCTGTAGGAAGAAACCTTGGGCAGATCCATGACTCAAAGGTCTAACCCTGCCAGCGGTCATGCAGGAAAAGTACAGTCATAATTCTTTAGTTTTTTGTATAAAATTCATTCAGGTAACTTGGTGTTGGTGTGTGCAAACGTTCAAAATGAAAACCTACTTGTGCCCCCATTTTTTTATGTGCTCCTAAATTTTTGAATGTGTGCTCCTGAAAAAAAAAAAAGTTAGCGTAGAGCCCTCTTCTCTGGGTGCCTCATATGCTGCCCACTGCTCCTGAAAGGACAGTAAACTAAATTTCCATGTGGCCTTATATCTGTCTAATACCTCAGTCATCCAAGTAGGTTCCGTAGTGGTCCATGGGCGTGTACTAGTCTATGTGTTCTTATACTTGTTTTGATACAGCTCAAGATCATTCTAAGGTTCAGTTCTGTCCTGTGAATGTGACTTTAGCTAGTAGCAATACCTGCTCAATTTAGTATCCATTTTTGATATCTGATTTTCAATCCTTTGACAACCCTACTTGATACTCTATAGATTTTGATACCCCAAAAATAAAAAAAAATCTATAAAAAAATCTGCCAGAAATAGTTTCTTTAATGTTACCATATGCCTGTATAAAATGTTCTAAAATAGATCAAGACCATTTTAGAATAGGATAATTTTATCTAATTTTTCCAGTATCAATACATCTAATAAGTATCTGGGTATCCATGTTTTGACAACTCTTGTTAATACTACAACCACAGTCTTCAGGCTTTGATCCGGGTCCTAGTGAGGATATGCTAGCACAAGTATGAACTTGTACAAGAATGGCTTTTTGGCAGCAAACACTTTTATAGTTTATTCTTCAGGAGTAATGGAGCTCCAGTGTCTCTCTGGATCTTAAACAACTAAAATGTTTTCTCAGTACAACTCATGACACTACAGCACCACTGAATCAGCTTTACTTAGTGGTTCCATTAGTGCCAACAAGAGAAGCTAACAAGCAGCGCATGCTATGCAAAAACAAAGACACAATAAGTGTGTATCTGCCCAATGTGAAGTTGTTCCAGTGCAGAGTCTAATCAGAATAATTGCATGAGGATGTATGCAGGCTGTTGGTCCAGTTTGTCTCATTAATGTGTGTGGGTGGACATTGTGCTCATATGAATTACTGCATTATCTCTCGCTTGCCGCTTTTCAGATGCTGTGAATTGTAGAGCAGCGTGTGTTGATGCTGTAATTACTAAACAGGAAATGAAATGCTTTAATGCTGTCCCCCTTTTCTCAAACAGGGCCTAGATGCTGCTTGTTAAGAAGGAAATTGCTCAAATGAAAATAGAGCAGCCTTTTTCAACAAGACAAACTGCATGAAAATTGACCAGCTCAAAATAAACATTATGATTTAGAAATGTCAAAATGACATTAGCAACAATTCACACTACTTTTTTTCTTATTGTCTTGTTGTATTTCATTGTATTGTTATTGTCTTGCCCTACATACAATATGCCAAACGTAAGGGCCATACATTTTTCAAAAGTCAGTACAATGTAAAATGCAGCCGCTACCTGCTTGTCTCCATGTTGATGTTCTTGCTTTACCTGTAATGTTCCACAGTATGACTTTAAACATTGCCATCTAGCATTTATTCATTACGAGTGTTTGATCTGAACTGTAAAGTAGCATAGTGCTGTTACCTGCTTGTCTCCCTCATGACAGAATCTATACTGTGGAACATTCTAGACAAACAAATAATATTTCCATGGAGACATCAGTTTGCTGACCCTCCTCTAGAAATGTTACGCAGTACACCTTTAAATGAACATATTTCAAATACATCATATTTAAATTATTATATTATGCTTTGGGTCAACATAAAATAATTAAATGGATAAGGTGACGTGGTATAACTTATTTATTTACGGTCAACAGTTCCTTGTTGAGTATGCAGTTAAATTCCCTGAGTAAGTACCTTTACACACACTCTAAAGGTGCAATGAACTTGTGGTGACTCTTGTAAGGAAGCAGTACATTATAAGTTCATTGGTTTATTGTAATATTTCAATTATGGGGGTCATTCACCCATAAAATGCTTACCAGACAGGATTTAGCTCTGTGTTTCTCCATTACACCAAACAGATTTTTGTGAGCTTTAAGCCATGTTATAATGTTGTTACCTCATCAAAAACATACCTGGAGTTCATTCATTCACACATGTTTGAGTAACCCTGCATCATTAGTCTGTCTACGTCTCCAAAGCTCAAAATGCTATGCTTCACCTTGTGATGTCATGTAGTAGTAATTTTCAATTTAACAACTCCCTTTTATCTTTTGTTCAACAAATGAGCAATTACATGTCTGAAATCATTTAAATCATTCTAATAAAGGTGTATGCATTTTAAAAACACAGTGGAGCATGTCCTGTACTAAAACATTACATCACAAGGTGAGTGTTTTCTGTTTAAGAGAAGAAATATGCAGGGCTTGTGTGTCAAAATATGAGTATGAAAAAAACACAACTTCAGGTAATGATGGTGATGAGGACACAACATTGTAACATAGTTGAGAAAACAGAGTAATACGGGCCCCTTAAGAATATTAGAGCTTCACATGTTCAGACTAAACCAGTGTACTCACTCTATGATGGTCTCCCTGTCTGCGATATCCCCCAGAACCATGCGCTGGATGATGCTGTTGTGCTCCTCCTCAGAGAGGTTCTTGTGGGACACCAGGGGCGTGTTGAACTTTGTGGCTGGAGAAGGGTCCACTCCCTGGAGCCACGGGTGGGTCTCGATCTCTTCCAAAGAGGCTCTGCGCTTTGGGTCTCGCTGTAACATTCGGTCTATCAGACTGTGGAGGACAAGACAACATATTTAGACTTAATTAACCACAGTGGGAGCAAGGACTAATAGCAAGAGTATTAGAATAGCACAGAGCCCTACGCAAGAGTGACTGTAGGGATGGTTTCACTTTTAGTTTACAAATAAAGTAGAAACAAAATATTATCATCTTTATTAGGTTTGTGGCCATCAAATATTCTACTAACATGCTTTGAAGACACTACTATGGCAAAAAATGCCACAAATGTTTCTCAATTTGATTTATCTAGATTTTTTTATTCAATTATATTTTTCCTTTAAAAACAAAACCAAAAAAAAAAAAAAAAAAAAAGGCTCACAGTGTTGCTTTTATGATCATAAGAAACATAAAAATAGCCAAAGCTGAAATTCTGCCCTAAACCACACAATCTTAATGAGGATTGGCTGTAGATCTTTCTGAATTTCGATTAAAATATCTGCCAAGATTTTTACATTATGCATTCAAAGTGCTGAAGCAGTGGTGGAGCTCGTGACTTCAGAGATGGATGAGGTGAGTATTGTTAGTGAAAGGGCAGCTCAGGTCACACAGTCCCATCTGCAGAGATCTACAGTCACTGTTGTTTTCTCGGAGAGTCGTCCTCTGCAGCTGGGGCCAAACCTGCCTGGATCGAAAGGTGTGGACTGACATCTGACCTGACACTTTACAGTGTGCTTGTGAGATTGTGGTCTTTCTCATGAGGCTTGTATTGCAATTTTCTTTCATTTCCAAAAAATAAAAAAAAAACGTCTTTCACAATTTTGCAACACAGATAAACATCTGAGTGTAGCTTCTTTTTGTTTATCTGCCATTTTGTTGTTATTGTTTGTTGACAAAATGTCTCAAATTGACTCAAATTTTCAAACAAAATAAACATGATTAGAAGATTATAAAACTATAAAACTGTTCTGGTGATTACACCTAAATCCATGTTTGATTTTAGGGGCCATTAGCTTGGAATATTCCACAGTCTACATGTGCTGCCTACTGTTCCTGAAAGGAACCTACAGGGTTAATAAAAACTAAAGCACTACAAAAAAAAAAATAATAATGATAATAAATAAATCAATAAATAAATAAATGCATCCCTGGTCCCAGGTGACGCTGCCAAGTCAAACTACAGGTCAGATCTGTGGAGAGGTGACACTGCTCAATGAAAAGATGCAAACTATTTTGAGGGTAATAAAAAACACAAAATAAAATGTATTGGGGCTCCGGTCCATTAAAACATGGCATACTTAATAAAGGCATTATAAAACATATAAGACAGGTCCCTGATACCAAAGAGCATGTCTGTTGCTGTTTTACCATTTGTCATCACTGCCTCCACAAAGTGTTCCTTGTTACCCTTTATTCAGACAAATAGGTAAGTAATGTAAGTAAATTTGGGGCAAGGCTATAACATCTTCATAAAAAAGTAAGTGGTGGACTCTCTAAAAATTACATATTGATCCTTTAAATGAGCTGGCACTATTAACTATACGTACAAAAATACATTTTTTGAAAATGAGCCAAAGCTGAACCAGGGCCCTAGAGTCTTTCCTGGTTTATTTGATATGTTACAGTGAACCATGAGCAGATGGAGCCTTAATACTGAGAACACAATCACCGCGACAGACCATGGGGACAATTCGCTGACACTACAGCTGGTCCGCTTAAAGTCCATGCAAATGATGCCAGAGATTGCACTTTATTAGGATTACGCTGGTATACACTGCAGTGGGAACGGTCAAAATGAATTCAGAAAAAGGATGATGCATTCAGGGGTCGGTGGTCTCTGTTATTATTAGGATACTAAACTAACATTCTAGTTTATGACAACAAAGCAGTTATTATTCTTGGTCTGGATGGATTTATGACATATTATTTCTGTGTCATCACTTAAAACTAAAATCTTTTTCTGAGGCTCACCAGTTCAACAGACGGTGAGAGTGAGATGGGATAGTCATAATGGTCATGATTATTGTGATAAGAAACATTGCGATTTTATAATTTAAGAACATACAAATCCTTAATTCAATTATTTTCAGACCATCTAATACCAGTCCCTTTGGTTGAGTAAGATGACTTTCATATTTATTTTTTTTACATATTTTTTGCATAGAACATATGATAATACTGTATTGAACTAACTAAGGATTAGTTCAGTACAGCCTAGGATTATCCAGCAGACTATTAAGTCATGTTTGCTGTGTGTGCACACTTCAAACATGAGCACGGAAGATAAAAAAAAGACATAATTTACATAGTGCTGTGGAGATGGGAACAGGCATCAAATTATTGCCTTACAATGGTTTAGTGCAGGTGAACCCTAAGAAGCCATTCCTGTTCAAACATGTGTGTAGGAGAGTGACATCTGTGTATCTGTGTATAACGTGAGATTATGGATGGGGAAAAAAACAAAACAAAACAAAAAAAAAACACAAAAAAAAACAGTACTTGAAGTTCTACACAACAGTTACACCAGAATCTTCCAAGCCTGCCCTACTAGTGATGTTTGTTGAAAATGTATAAAAATTATGCAGCAAGATTTGGGTATAACTCTATGAAGCAGTAGTTTTATACATTATAGGGATACAAAATGTTTTAATAATGTCTTAGTGGTTTAAAGATTTTAAATTGTGGTCATTAAGGGGGTGGGCAGTCACTGTTGAGCTCCATATGGACAGACCATCGACCTGCCCATCTGAACTTTACATCTTTACTAAGAGATTACCAAATGCTTAAGAAGTGTGTGTTTTGAACCACAGGTAACTTCATGGTGTGGCCATTTAGTGGTGCAAATATTGACTTAAAAAAGGTTGAATATAAACTGAGTAAACCATAGCTAAGGTAGTCTTCGCTTTCTCCTTTTTGATACCAGTAGAGGTTACACTGCTGCTTTTAGCTCTAATTTCACAATTACAACTTCACACCTTTTGTCTGTCCTCACTTTACTGTTGACAAACGAACAACCATGCACACACTTACATTTCCATCACAGCGACAAATGACAAGTCCCTAAGTGGTGACGCATCTCTCTATAAGTGAAGTATTACAAAATAGCTTTATGACCTTAACAGGAACACAGTGTGCAGCTTATATGTATAGGATTGTTTTATGCTAAAATGACAAAGCACATTGATAGAGGCACAAAAATACACTGTTCTAAAAAAGACATGCAAATTATAATCTAGTAGCGTGACAAAGACAAAGGCAGAGAGGAGGAAGCAATGGGAGGCCTAGGAGATAATGAATAATTTATTAAGAGGTCTGAAAATGTGTTTTGGGGAGGCAACTGGGGACTGAGTACACAAGATGGTAATGTATACTCAGTACACATAAAGGACAGCAAGAGGATAGAGTAAAAGAAGTTACAGGTTATATAACGTGTTAGGTAATGTCTATTATTCAAACTAAGAACTATATTTGCTATGGTGCAATTGTGCAGAGGTTTTTGGTAATTGCATTTACATACTCTGCTTCTCTTTTTGTACAGCCAGTGAGAAACTATGGGTGCCTTGAGGAGACAATTTCTTGCTGAGCCAATTTTATTAGATTGATAATTAGAATATTCAGCCCTAAATGGTATGACGCTATGCTAAAAGAGTAGTGTTATCAGCGGCTGGTTAAAAAAAGTGCAATACTGCTGCATAATCACAAAATCATCTGTCTGTCGGTTTTGCTGGAGGGTGTCAAACTGCATACATTTAAGAAAAAATGTATGAAACTCATATACAGTCGCTGGCAAGTGACACGCATCATGAATCTGCTAAATGTGCACAATTTTAGATTCATATCAGAAACTTAAATATCTGAAGAATGGTATCATGAGATGGAGGAAAGTTAATCAAATAAACTCATTCAGTTTTTGAAGGAGCAGACATGATGGGAGCAGAAGGTTGTGGTTGATGTGGTGGTTTCTCTTCAGGTAGTTGGTGATGTTTTCAAATGCAGAGGTGAGATTGTGAGGCTGTGTCCGAATGTCCACCCTAGTCCCTAACCCCTCATATCTCACTATATAGTGCACTCGCAGAGAGATTTGGACCTGCAGCGCACTACATCAGGTCACATGACTCTGGCATTTGGGTGAAAAATATCACCTAAACTCTGATAAAACTTGATTTCTGTCATAAATAATGATCACATCAGACTGGCACACAAGTGTTAATGGACTAATATAAATCATACAAGTTTTTGTCAAGCTGGATTTCACATAAATGGACTGGATTATTTGCTTTTTGTCTGAAATGTGGAAATTATCGCTCTTTTAACAGGTGGAGCTAAGGTAAGTGGCTAAAGCTAGCACCACTAACATCAAAACGGTTTATTTAAGTGTTTTATTCAGAATCACAGATCTACAGTGCAATACACTTTTATCTGCTTTCATTATGTCGGGATGTGTCCAACTTGATGTTGTATGCCGTTGTTTTCATGACTTTCACAATGCATTGTGGTCTATATTGACTGGTCTAGTGACCACCGATGCTCACTACTTTTCAAGGTGCATTGTGGGAAATTTTGAGTGCACTACTTTTTCACCAACTGGTCATTTGGACACCCCTAAAAATGGCGTGACCTCTAAATAGTGCACTAAATAGGGAATAGTTTGGACATCTGGACACAGCCACTGTGATCCAAAACCACAGTTTGGTGCAGCTGCAGCCCACTCTTCAGTCTCCTCCAGCGATGAGAAGAGTTTACTTCCTGTGTCTAAAAATACTCTGTAGAGAGGAAACATTGGTCCTGGCACAGTGAGGGCCAATTATTTCCAAAAATGGCATTGTGGAGATTCAAACTTGATTGACAACATGTTTGGAATATTTTTTTCTAGTAATTGATTAAACCACCATCTTAATTGTTGTAACAAACCAATAATCCAGGACTGGGCCATATGGGGAAAAAATAATCATGATTTTTTTCCCCCATACTGATCAATCCCAATTTTCAATTTGATCTTTTTCGATCTTATTAAAAACATACACAGGTGAACTTCAAGCGAAAAAAGAGGAGTGTCAGGGTCACCACAGTTTTTATTTTGTGGTGACACGACCAATAATTCCAGTGTAATTCACATTTAAAATTTGGAATGACTTTGTACAATTTATTAAGCCTAAAAGCATTATGTGCATCACCGCTACCAGTAGACACAAGTGCACGCACGCACACGCTACTGCTATCAACAGTAGCGCCTGCACAGAGATCGACCAAAGCAGAGATCGCAATCTAACGATCTTTCGTTTCTTAGCACACGGCAATTCATTATGGATCATGCATATATATATATATATATATATAAAATGCAGCTCTACTGTCCACTTACACGTACAAATCATTGCCTCACATCTGCAGCCATCTTTGTAACATTAAGAAAAATATTTAACAGCAACACTAATAATGCAACTGGAGCTTGTGCACGTTTGCCCAAAACACTGAACTATTTTGAGTCAGGACATGTGTTGTTGTGCTCAATCTTGGCTCTCTGCAGCTGGATCCTCCTACTGCCTCAAGGCTTCATGTTACCATTGAATCTCATTTGTCTGGAATAAATTCATATGGCCTATAACAGAACTAACCAACTGCTAGTGGAAATGTTTTGAATAATACAACAGTTTATTCTGATGTATTTTATGGACCCTTAAACAAAAACAACAGTATGTCAGAGTAACAAAAAAAGTGACACGTTATCATGCTTACACAATATTGCTAAATTAAAAGTCAGCTGTATCTTGTGGTATGTATATCTTGTCCCAGCTTTTTAGATGCACAAGAGAGCATGTTTATTTTTTCATATGTAAGCTTCAGTATGAAACTCGCATTCATTAATTACTGCAACACTAGAGGAGTCACTATAAGGGCAAAGTCTTTACCGTCTAAATTGCATCTAGAGTCGAATAAAACGGAACACTTGGAAACACATGTTGGATCACACATTTTGTCTCAAACATCAACATTAAAGGTGCATTGTGTAACTTTTCTGATCAAATACTTTCTCCATGGGGATTTGTCTGGGATTTATTACAGTATGGTATTAAAGTTTTCTATGTTCATGGAGTCCAAACCAGACCAAGTTACACGTCAGAAATATGGAGAGGCAGCCCCGCTCACCAGCAACCACCAGTAATTGAATAAATCTAAGTTAGAGCTGTTTAATGTCATACTGTGCACCATTCCAGGCAAAGCAATAACATTTCCATGAAAACAAAAAAGTGACAGACCCCATTCAAAAAGTTACATAGTGAACCTATAAATATATGTGAATTATTAGAGTCCCCCCCTGACAAAGGAGCAGAGTGAAGTAGAGTATTTGTAGCATAATGTGAAAGTGTTGTGGACTCACTCTTTGCAGGTGTTGGAGACCCGGGCTGGTACTGTGTATTTACAGTCCATGATCATGGTCAGAGTCTCACTGTCATTGGCTTCCTGAAATGGAGGTTGTCCACAGACCAGCATGAACAGAATCACCCCCAGACTCCAGATATCTGAAACAACACAAAAGCACTGTTAGCATATTTACATTCAACCTGGACTTTGCGACCAACCACTATCGGAGTGAAGGGCGTTGCACAGGTGAGGTTTGCACCGCTAAACCTCTAGTTGATGCTTTATCCACAGCACCACATTCACTTTATACAACCCATCTCAATTTGATTACAAGAACAGAAACCTCAAAAACAAAACATTACATTTTCAAATTCCCCAAACCTGTGGGAGGCACTTGGTTAGAAAATATCACCACATTAACCTGCCAAAAACTCCTGTTCCCAGATCCAAGCAGTCCCTTCTGTGTGGGACTTAATAGAGACATGACACCAGCGGCTGTCCATGCTTATTTTTAGCGCGACACATCACGAAAACCTGCGCCAGGCTCAAGAGGCTCCAGGCTGAGGCAGGAAGGAAGGATCTGTCCGCCAACAAAATATATCTTTTCAATAAAGAATGTTTGCGCATCTCTGTGTGATGTACGATGTAAGGGAGGGTAAATAATGGCAAGATAATCAGGGGAAGAAAAGAGTACTTCATGTGATTTAAAACGCCAACAATGAATTCAAGTGTAGCTCATGTATCTTTATTTTAATTAGGTTTTGTCTCCTTGCGGTAAAGAAAGAAGAAAAAAAGCCCTGGCAGTTTGACCGTTTGTGCATGTGCCTTTGAAAAGTGGGGAGAATGCAAAATGAGTTAGTGCACTTATATTGTGGGTAAAAGAAACACTGAAGAATTCACAAACACATCTAGCATACCTACCACAGCAACAATGTAATTTAATATCGTCAACCCATATGCCTGTATATGTACAGTATATGGGCTGACAATACATGGCTCCATATACAGAATAGTGTCTTATTTTCAGAGGAATTGAACAGAATGTAATCCTTTGTTGAATGTTTATGTGCAGGAGAATATCTAATACCCTACGTGAGACACATAAATGAGTTTGGGTAGACAAGATGTATTTGTATTACTTCTCATTACACAAGCTCAGGAGCCAGACACAGACCCCTTGGTCATCCAATTTAAACAGGCAGATGAAGCCTTCCGCCTGGAGTGGAGACAGTAAACATCATTTAATATGCATAAGTCCCCTCTGTGTTGTTTGACAAAGTCCATTAATCTCAAAGCGTTCCTTCTTCAAACAGACCTGATACATGCTCTGACCCTCCAGTGTTTTCCTCAACAAACATTTATACTTCAACTTCACAGATTACACCGCTGTCTGCCAAACCAGGACAAACAAAAGGGATCAAATTAAGAAAACCACAACCAAAACCACACACAGTGCAAGACTTTGACAGTTTGTTTCCTCACAAAATATACTGCATGACCAAGTATTTTAAAGACATTTAAGACATCAGAGTTTGAGCAGGACAGTGATAGCAGAGCAGGGTTTCACAGACAGACGTGAGCTGTCTGTGTTTTTATCATCCAAAAACTAGGAACTGTTGTTAGAATGCTAGTTTTTGTTAGCTTTCTCCAGTCTGGTCTCTAAAAGTTGCAAATAATTAGCATGTTAGGAATGCATTAGGAAAGTGAGGAATAACTTTGGACTGCTGCAAACCACAAGCTTGTTTAGCCTGTTTATTAAACAGTAATAATCACTACAGAGCCTCGAAAGAGGACAGCATCCAATGTAAAGTGCGTTCATCCCAACAAACCACATACATACATACATACATTACATTGCTGGTGCATTTTAATAAATTTACCTTAATGTAGGTCTAACTCATTTAGTATGGACTGTCCTCATTCTCATGCACACCTGTGTCTCACCTGTGCATCTCCACTCTCTTGTTTGAGTCTTTTGGCTTTGGTCCAGTCCTACAGTGTCCTCTACTGTCCCTCACTGCTCCGGGTCACACACTCCCCACACATTAACATTCACAGGACGAGAGCGATGCGTCCCAGAGGTATTGTTCTCCAATCTCATCTACTCATGTCCACTTACAGGCTGAGAAATACAAGGCCATATAACAGCAGGATGCACACACACTGCACACAGAGCAAAGCTGTGATGAGGAGTACAGGCGGAGAGACCCCTTGAGCCAAAGACTATATTGATTCTTTGACATCCAGATGCTGAGGAAGGTGAGTCTATGTAGGGCTCCAAGTAATTATTATACTAGTCAACTAGTCAGTGATTTTTTTATTTTTTTATATTTTTTTTTTCAATTTGTTGACTTTTCTGTCTTTTAGATTGAATGTCTTTTGAGTAGTTTGGTGCTTTAGATTATAGTCCCTAAGAGGAGGTGGTTCAATCCTGGATAGTTCCATTAGGGCACAAAAATCTCTGAAAAATAGTAAAGTGGATAAATAATTGAAACACAATTTCTAATTCTGGATAAGCACTGGCCTCGGAGTGCAAATTATATGGTATAATTTTAACAACCTGTAATTTTCCAACTATTGTTGGTGACTTGACATAAGCCTTAAATAAAACGTGTTGGAACTAACAAAGCTTAAACTAAAACAACATCTGGCTAATAGTGACTTGTAGACAGGGATCGTCACCTGCACAGCTGTGATATGTAAACCACACAAAACCTGTGTCAACTGTTAACAGCAACACAGAGAGCAGTTAGCCCAATATGACATTAGCCTATTCGTTCATCTCAATGCATCAATAAAATACATCTAGGCAAAGCGTTCTGAAGTCAGTGGAGAATCTCTGGAGACATGTACCATGCATTCCTAAATATAGCCAGTTCACAAGTGTCTGAAACAACTATTAACCTTCAAAACTTCCATTGCTCTAAATGTTTATACAGATATACTCAGTCACCCTAACTCCATATAATGACAGACCAACTCAGTTCCTGAGTCAGATTTAGCTAAGAAAGGTTACCATTACCATATCTGTTCAAATACAGCATGTGACAAAGTCAGATGTCATAGTCAGATGTGCAGCTCAAATATTTTCTCTTCCAGCTGTCACAGTACAGCTCTGTCTGAAAGGCCCAGGATGTGAGAGCCAGAAGAGGTTTCAGATGGAGCAATGCAGATTAGACACACCTCAGTACACTCCTACAAAACTGAATGCCTTTGGCCACTGTCTATTGCATTATTTTTACTCTCTGCTACTACAGCTATTTTCATCTGTCTTCGGCCTGGAAAACCATGCATTGAATGTATGAAACTACAGAAAAAATTAATAAACCTATTGCGTTTGATTTGGTTTATGCCACAAAAAAAAGAGCAGTGTTTCTCACGGCCAAAAAAAAAAAAAAGACATTTTACTTCTTACTAATGATTTTATCATTTATTGATTTAATGAACTCTGTTTTGATCAGCATAGGTGACATTTTCAACCAATTCTATTCAATAAAATAATTTTTTACTACTTGTTTCCATTGTAGCTGTGTCCAAACAATCTTGATCCAATAATATATTTGTTTGAATAACCCATCCTGTTACAAAAACAACTTTCCAAACTTGGCTAGCTATGTCCCCCGTTATTTCTCATATCACACTATAAAAGAGTTCAGCTTCAGTTTCGGACTCCAGCCAACACTGGTAGCTCAGATCAATACCTAAAAAGGCTATAGCCCCGTCTCCCTGGGCCCAAGTGAAATCCTTGACTGTTGGCGGTCTTGCTTAGTGTTGGAAGACCTCCAGTCATTAGCAGCACAGATAACCAGCGACCAGTGTGCAATCTGCCTCTGAATAAAATAAGAGAGCTTTGATTTCACCGACCCACTGTACAGACACAGCAGGGGTGGTATTCAAAAGGACCCAGTCAAGCATCAGAGAGGAGGATAGGGGAATGGGTTAGAGCTATAGACTGGTAGCCAGTGGAAGATGCTATAAAGTCAATTAAGAACACAGCACTTACAAAGGTTTTTATGGAAAAGTATGACTAAATGTATTGTAGAAATATCTTTAATAAGGTGTGAGAATTTTCAGTGAAGACAATAGTACCTTAGCATTCATTGTAAGACATTCAGCAATGTTGGTTAATAGATCACCTTTTTCACTTAAGTATGCTTATTTTAATTTCATGCCATAAAATAAATAGAATTGCATTGTTTTTCATTTGGGTAAGTTTCTTTGTATGAAATGAAATGCTATGCTACCCCAAAGAAAGTCAACAAAGCAAGATATTATCCTTATAACTGTACAGACCAGGAGGGAACAGATTCTTACATGATTTCCTTTGCCTAACATATAAAGTGTAATTTACAGACATAGCATAGTCTAGACAGTAAAAGCAAATTGCCACAATGAGCTTTAATGGACTTAAGAAAACACTGATTTGATTTGTGTGATGTATAATAAAGAAACTCAATCTCCAAACCGCCAAGCAAAATCTCTATCTTTATCAGCTAGGGCTGGGCAACAACATTTTCTACACCATGAATATTTCAATAGTCAATCAGTTGTCAATGTGTGGTTAAAAATGGGTTGTTGAATTCAGTTTGATATTAGATTGTAATCCTAACATTACTTTTTTTCATACATTTGAGAAAAGTTTGTGCTAGAACAGATATATTGTATAAGCATCTGTTGAGCTCAGAAGAGCTCTGTACTATCTGCATCTAACTATAAAGGTCTGAGATTCAGGAAGTGCATGATTAGCAAGCTAGCTGTTGTTGGTATTACCGTGACTGCAAACTATGCTCTTGCCTATGAAAGTTGTGAAGCACTTATAAACTTATGACAATAAGTATGATACTCAGAATTCATAAGGGAAGTGAGGGATAAGTTTGGACCACTGTAAACACTGCATTTAATTTTTAAGACAGCAGAAGTCAGGTACAGTGCCTTTAATGGAATCAGTTTTGCCATTTTGTGTCCTCACATCACCAGCATGCAGGAGCCCACAGGTTCATTTGGATCCTGTGGGGTTTGTAAAGTAAAGGCCAGTCCAACAGCATAGGGCGGTGGAGGCACATTAACACACAGGCTTGTCTGAGGAGCTGTCAGTAACATGCACAGAGCCGTCACTCCCCAGACAGCCCCCAGACTCTCATCACATCCACTTAAACGC